TAAATGCTTTACAGCAGGATCTGCACCCTATTAAACACGAGTAAGGCTGTGAGGAGAATTGGGAATCCACAAGGACACTGGATGTTTTTGCCTTTTGCCTTGCCTTAACTCAGTGTAGCTGTAAATTGAACCAGGTAAAACTCTAGTCTTGTTTGATGGGGTTATTTCATGCCTAAGACAATTCCTTTGCAACATGACCCTGCACTGAAACTTTCTAATGTTTTAATAATAATTCTTCAAGGAGGGCACAAACCCCAAAAAGATTCCTCCGTAGTTCTGTGTGAGCTCAGCAATAAAGAACTCAGCCTTTATTCATAAAGGCCATGCTTTCCCCCCAGCTTTCTGACATCCTTACTAGCATTTCAGTGAAATCCATCTCGAGGCAGGGCCATGAATTTTCCATGAGCTAAGTGCTAAGTGTTATCACAGAAGTGAAATAACCCGAGCGCTGTAACAACCCCCCACTCTGGACACGTTTCAGAGCACAGACATCTCACCACACACACTCCTTCCAAGGTTTCCTTCCACCTGGCTGCTCTCAGCCCAGCTCCTCACAGGGCTGTGCCGTGCTCTGAACTCCTGCTGTGCATTTGGAGGAGCTGTGCATGCCCTGACGGCAGGGAATACGAGCTTTAAATCCTGCTCTCAGTACATTCCTGGCCATCGTCCCACCACACCCCACCTTTCAATCATACACCTCAGATCAAACACAAATTTGTTCACTGCCTATTGGCAAGTGCACAGAAGGCCAGAGTACAAAAAGAGCTTTCCTGCAAAATTAAGGGCAGGTGCTGCAGCTTGTGGCACGGAGCGTGAATCTGCCCTCAGAGCTGCAAAGATGTTCTACATCTGGAGCTGTGTGTTCCTAAAACACCGAACACCTGACACAGTGAAGAGCAATAATTTAAAACCCAAAGACCTTGTACATTGAGTTCTAACTCTCGTTTTATCTGAGAGCCCTTTTATGACCAGTCTCACCTCCCTGACTTCTCCTCCTAGCAGATCTACACTACTCCTACTTTTGCTGTGATATAAGGAAGACTCATTGCCCATGGCTAACTCAATAATTTCCCATCCTTTTAAGGCCCATTCCATTGCACACCCCCCTTTTCCCCCCTGCTGTTATCAAAGTTATAATTCCCTTCTGCCACTCCACATTTTACCTGCAGGAAAGTCAATCTATTTCTCATGAATTAATAAAGATCGTTACTTATGGTTTTTTGTAGAGTTCTGCTTCCCCATTTTCCACAGGGCTTTTGCACTTGAAATGTTTGTAGAGAGAACTTCCACACAAATATCAGGGCACTGGTGTTGACAAAGGGATTGTGCAGGAAGAAATCCCTGCCATGCTCTGAAGAGGGAGTTAACTGATGCCAAATCCAAGCACGTCCATGGCCATGGAGGGGCACAGTGGATTTTACCCTTCATTTCAGCAGGCAGCAGCAGACTGAGGAGTGCATTCCCAGGCATCCACAACAGTTTTCAGCAGGGATTTCACCCAGGCAGGGAGCACACACCAGATTGGTCCAACCAAACAAGACAGATGATGATACTGGCAAAATCAACAGTGCCTGGATTCTGCTGCAACATCTGAGCATCCATGAAGTTGGCTGACTTAAGGGATTTTTACCCCTCAGGGTATCTATTCTGGAATGGCCTTATAGAAGCAAGGAATATCCTGAGTTGGAAGGGACCCACAATGGGCATCGAAGTCAAACTCCTGACCCCACATAGGACATCCCAAAAATCCCCCCATGAGTTCTTCCACTGTTGTCCTCTCCCAAATCTGATGAAGAATTCATGCTGCTCTAGAAACACAGTGGTCTCTACATCTCCCAGCACCACCACCACCACCACAAGGCAAGACATTCAAGTTAAAAAGCCAAACAATGCCCCCGGTGTTTGTACAGAAATTATTTCTGTGCTCACACTAAAAGCTCACACTCCTCACTAAAAGAGCCATGATGACTTCATCAAAAACACTCAAACCAAAGGGAAAAAATTGAAAGAGCCATGCGGCTTCATGCAAACACTCAAACCAAAGGGAAATGATAAAAGATGTAAAGAGTCATGATGGCTTCATGAAAATCTGCAACACCTTTTATCTGTTCAGCATCCCCTCAATAATGGGGTTCCATTAAGAGGAGAGAGAAATTTTCATGGATTTCAGGTTGTTTTCCTTGCTGACAGATAAATCACATCTATAACTTCTAGGTATGTGTTTTGTTTGTCTTCTCCAGTTTCTGAGCAGTGACAAGAAAACTAAAGCAGGCAAAGGGCTATGCCACAAACTTTTGGGCTTTTGGGGAACAATTTAATTTTATTTTTTTTTTCACAATTATTGTCAGGCTGTTTTAAGGACAGTAAGGTATGAAGCAACCACATTGCTGGCAAATGGAATCAGACCATAATGGAGAGAATCACGACTGGACTTTTGATCAAGAGACTTGTCAAAATGAATTTTTTGACTTACAGCTGCATTTCCCCCTTTTATCTCTGGTATCTGACCAGCATTTCCCCTGCTGCTCCCCGTGGTTCCCTGCCTATCACCCTGCACCTTTGCCAACAATTTGACACCATCTTCACCTTACTCCAACCCTGACATTGTGTTACTGGAGAAGGTTATGGAAAACAGAAAACACAAACCAACAGAACAGAGCCTCCAGAACAAGGGCAATTCACTCCTAAATCTGATGGTTGAAAGAGCCTTTTCTGCATTCCAGTTTTATAGGGGAAGAAAGCCCAGACTAGTTTGAAGATTTCAACTTCCTAAAGGAGGTATAACTGCAGGGTAAATTAAATTAGCATAGTAAATTGGTGAAATTATTTACATGCCTTGAATAAATACAAGCTGTTTACTGGGGTGAGACACTCTGAAGATTAAAAAATTGTTCCGAATTCTCAGTCTGGTAGAATAAAAACAACAATACAGTTAAAATGCACGTTAAAATTGCTGTAGCAGTTCTGAGATCCCAGCTTGGGTGCAGCAGTCCAAGCAGATTAGCTGAATTCTTGGATTTCAAATCACAGGCTCAGAGAAGTGTTTGGGTTGGAAGAGAGCTTTTAAAGCTCGTTTTCTTTTCTAGTGAAAGGCACTAGTGGACATCTTCCACTGCCCCAGGGTGCTCCAAACCCTGTCCAGCCTGGCTTGCAGTGATAAAGACACAGATATGGCAGTCTGTAAAGAGGAATTATTCCTTACTTTTTATTGCATATAAATGCTACTGGCTTTGAGTCCCCACCCAGCTTTATTGCACCCAGTGAATCAAAGCACTGGGAAATGCCACACAGCTGGAAAATGTGATGCACTAAAATAATGAATTCAGCAATGTACAGTGTGTACTGAGAAGTTGTAAATGCTCTATCAATTATTTATTCCCCTCCTGCAGCAGTTTACTGCAGCATAAAAGGATAATAAAATGAGCTGCAAGAGGTATATGTTAAAAACTACTGACAATTGTTTGGAGGGATTTTCATAGTAAGTATTAAAAAATTAACATCTTCAAGGCAATAAAAAGTATTGTAGTAAAACTTCCCTGCAGTGTGAAAAATATTGACAACTGTTCTTTTCTTACCCAGATACCAGAGGAAAAAATGAATTTTTGGCTGTTTACAAGAAGTGGGATTTTTAAAGTTGTTTTAGCTGTTGGACAATGGAATTGTAGGAGCAGTGACTGCACCATGGACCAGCACCTTTTACAGCACCACATTTTACCTTGTTGCTGCTGATGTTTAGTTCTTCATGAACCAAAAGGATCCCCAAATTGCACCTCCATTTCTCCAAAATTTGTCAAGAAAAACAGCATTGGCTTCTCCACTGAAACTGGCAAAGATCAGTGGCTCTCCAGGGTGCCTCAGTGCTCCAGGGGTAACTGAAAGGACCAACCCCTACCGCAGAGGCACAGGGTTATGAAAAGGGCTTTCAAATGAGGAAACGAGTCACTTCAGATTGCCCTGCTAAAGCATAGCCCCAAAAATTTCACAGGAATGAGGAAAACACTGGCTAGAGCCTGTTGAAAATGTGTTCAAAACCACAAATATGAGAAATATTCTCAGCTTGCTTTTCCCAGACAAATTGTGAATAAACACTCTTTCCTCACTTGAGGAAGCATGTTAGCAGTGGGGAGGCATTCCGTTGGATGCCTCATTTATTTCTCTATGTGTACTACAAAGATTTTTCCTCTCTGTCTCCACGCTGGCTCTTTGAAAAAAAAAAATTATTGAAATATCTTAGTTTGGATTTTAATCCTTCCACTGTTTCACTGGTCAGCGAGGGAAGTTTGATAATCAACGTTCATGAAGGGGAGTGAAACACACAGTGCAGCAGCTGAAATGCCAGGCTCTGGAAATTTCCAGGTGCAGTGATTTAGCTTTTATGTTTTTAAATCCAGTTTAGGATTTAGCTTTTATGTTTTTCAAATCCTGTACTGCATTAGGGTATAACTTTAATACTCCATTTAGAGTGCTTTTATCACTGCTATTAATGAAGGGATGGGACTATTTTTGGGTTAAAAATTATTTATTGTTCAGATAAATATTTTAGTTTTGGAGGTTGTGAGATTTATGAGAGTAAGTAGCTGGTAACGGTTTAAGAGTAGTTATAAGTTTTATTGTTATAAGGTAATATATAACTTTTTAACTTAATAGATAGTTGCTATAAGGTTTATTTTGTTTTTCTGACTTATTATTTTTATTTAATTTTGTTGTACAGTGGATATTTTTGTTTAATAGGTTTTTATAGTTTTTAATGGGTTTTATTTATTGGTTTTATATTCATATATGTATGTTTCTGTTATAATTTTTAAACTTTTAGCTTATTCTATACAGCCACACCCTCACATTATAAACTCTTCACTATTTTATTAACATAGTGTTTTACTTACTCGAGGTATATTTTTTCTTACAATGCCTGCTGAAGGCTTTCATGAATCCCCACTTTATTCTCCTAACCTTGCCTGGCCTCTGCTCTGGGGGCCCCCAAAGGCAGCAGCAGCACTCACCACCCAGGGCTTGTCACAGAAGTTGTAGATGGACTCGAGGGAGTTGACGCTGGGGATGCCGGCGTACTGCATGCCGATGATCAGGTTGCGGAAATCCTCGTTCTCCACCATGCTGTAGGAATGCTGCCGCACCAGCACGAAGTCGGGCCGGAATGACCTGCCAAAAAACATCCATCGTCGTGATAATCCACCAGCAAACTGGTTCTCCTTCTACAGCAAAATCTGCAGAGGGTGGAAGATGGCTGGTGGGGGAGTAGGGAAGAACATGTGAACCAACGGGAAGTGACAAAGTTGGAAAGAGCCACGATGGCTTCATGAAAAACACTCACATCAAAGGGAAAAAATGTAGATCCAAAATTCTCAGCATTATGTTACAGAAAATATAATTTTTTTCGTGTTATGATTTTCATTCACACACATAAAAAAGTTGGTGCCTGTTAAATAATTTTTTCTTCTAAAACTGAACCAAACCAGCAAAATTTTAAAAATTTTAATTGTGGCTCCAGCATCAAGATCCAAAATTCTCAGCATTATGTTACAGAAAATATAATTTTTTTCGTGGTATGATTTTCGTTCACACACAAAAAAAAAGTTGGTGCCTGGCAAATAATTTTTTCCTCTTAAACTGAACCAAACCAGCAAAATTTTGTCATTGAAATTTCTATGATTTTGCTAACTAATAATTTGCTCATAAATCTATGATACAAGGTCACTCTGGGCATCAAATTGATAACAAAAATCTCCAATTATTACAGAAACAGAGAATTGCTCTCCCATCATGCCAGCACCTCCACAAGCCACATCCCCACGTGTCACACACCAGATTTGAGGGAAAATTATCAGCTTCAGGTAGTTCTATTTGCATAAACAAATTACCCATAAAACTATAACAGTGTTATCTCATTCTCAGAGTTATCAGATAACACAAAGTTCCTGTTTTTTCCTAACAAAAGCAGCATTTTTACCAAGTTTTCTCATGACCTGCAGATCTTTGGAGATGTTATTTTCTGGAGGTTCCCAGCCCTCATTTTCTCCTGACATGTTTTGATGGTAACTTGGCTTTGATACTTTTTAAAACACTTTTTGGAATAGTACAGAAAAGCCACTAGGGAGCAGTGATCAAGATTTCTTGGCTCCAAAACTTCCATCATTGGGTAAAAAATTCCACCAACCCTAAGAAAAATCAAATCTCTAACTCTTCTGAGGAAATAATCTTGCGGGTTTGGCACAAGATCATTGTTTTTGTATTAAACTGCAATATTTTTGAAACATGCCAGAGAGTAAAGAATGGGAATTTTGAAGCATAAACTTATTTTTAATATTTTTCCTGGAGTGTTTTTTTTTCTTTGTTTTGTTTTGATATTTTGGGGTCTTTTTTGGTTATGTTTTTTGTTTGTTTGGGCTTTACCAGTGCCACTGTAAAAATAAATTAAAAACCCAAACCTGCACCATTTGGCAAAAGCAACATTAAGGATTTGCAGTCAAGAGTCGTCAAAACGGCACTGAAGCTCAATGAGCAAAATCTGAAAAGAAATCCTTGCCTTTAAATAGGATTCCTGAAAAATATCTGCAGCACAGCCCTGAGATGTTGTGATCAAGGTCTCATGGGGGTGCCAAGAGTCTGGGACATGGAAATCCAATTTACTGGCCCAGCATGAACATAATACTTAGAGGATTAATGATGCTTTTATCACTGCTATTTTTTCTTTGTTTTGTTTTGATATTTTGGGGTCTTTTTTGGTTATGTTTTTTGTTTGTTTGGTTGGTTTTTTTACATGTATGAGTGGACACATTCAAATCTTTTATTTGGAGATGTGTTCTGCAAACCATGAAGATCCAGGACGTGCTTGTGTGGCTCTGCCTTTAAATTCAGTTTTTCAGCCAAACAACTGCTGCACTTCACTTGCACATAAATGCACCAGCCAAAATAGGAGCAATTCTCACAATTTAAATAAAATATTGGATATTGTTTTGATAATAATTTTGCCAATATAATAATTTTGCTGATATGATTTTTCTATTAGTTCCTTAATTTTTTCCTTTGCCCTGGTTTCTCCCCTCACATTTAGGAGGCTGTTGATGTCCTCTCTGAAAAAAACCAAAGCCAAATTTACCCTGCCTTCATTGGCATCATCCTTTTTAGACAAAACAGCCGCTGGGAAATCTGAGGTGTTTAAACCAAAATGTTTCAAACAGGCAGAAATATTCCAGTAGCTGCCCTGAGAAGGGTGTTATGACTTGGTCTGTTTCAATAGAAAATATTCCATGCTGGAAATAAATTCTGCTATTCTGGGAAAGTCTGGCAGGCACAAAATCACCAAATTTGGGTCCTTCTGTAGCAAACATAAAACCCAAATCAATAACCCCAACTCCCAACCATGTATTCTTTATTCCTTCCCTTAATAAATCCATTTTCCCCATGATTAAAATGTCAAGATGTGTCACAGGAAGGGTGTCACAAATCAGATATTTTGTTTTCTACTCTCCCTGAGGGGCATCACTCAAGGTCCACAAACACAGCCCAAGCACTCAGCACCTCTCCCATCCACACATGATGTCATTTATTGCTTTTTGTTGCTATTCCATGGAGTTTTGCTTACCTGACAACTTTTGTGCCATTTCGAATGACTTGGATATCAACTGCATAATTGCCATCAGCATGGGCTATCAAGTTGATTTCTGAAAATTCTGCCTATGAAGAAAAGACTCATGTTAGTCAAACTGGTTTATTTTACCTTTATTTTCCAACTCCCTTATTTTCAACATTAGGGCCTGAAGTGCTGACAATCTACATTTGAAATAAAATGAGCATCAAGGGGGCATTGATCCAGCAGTATTTGTCAAGTGTGATACATCACATTTCAAAAGGTTTTAATCCAAAGAGAGCAAAAGGTAAAAAAAATGTTGTGGAAATGGGTTGTGGGGCAGTACAAGTGGATTTACTCCTCCATGTCTGCACAGAAATGTAGGGATTATATTTTTGCTTTGCACAATGTTATCAAAGAGATTAATACAGGCTCAACATTGACATAAAGTTTTGAAGAAAAACAGTACAAAAGCAGTATTAAAGTAACATTTTCTCAAAGACTTTAGTGTCTCCTCATACTGCTCATCCCTTTTGATTTTCATTATGTGCATTTACTCTTTTTTTTAAAGGAGCTGGTGCTAATGAGCAATTGTCTCACAAAATTCTCAATTAAAGCATTTTTTCCAAAAGTCTTCTCACCCTGGAAATGTGGAATTTAAAGGGGGCTGCTCCCATACTCTGAATCTGCAGTGATTTGAAAGGAAAGGACAGGATGTTTTACATTTATCCCCAGCCTTTCACCAGCTTAGACTCTCAAGGCACTCCACAATAACATCACCCAGCAGAAGAATTGAAATGCAGCCAGCTGTCTCCTGGTGGATAAATAAAAGTGTCTTTGCTGTCCCGGGAGCAGCACAGAATAGAGAGTGTCACAATCCTCGTTAGTCTGCTCCTGAAAAATGGAATTACTGCGAGTCTTCCTGGGGCAGAGCGGGGAGCGTTTCGCACCCCGGGGCTCAGGAAGGGAGGGCTGAGCTGTTCCTCCCACTGCTGCAGCCCAGGCATTGCACTCAGGGCTTGGATTCATTAAACCCAGACACCCTCACAGCTCCTGGGATCCCTGGGACAGCACTCCCCAGCTCATTGCAAAACCAGTGCAAATGGGGAGAGGATGAGCTCTGCGTGTAGGCACTGCAAATGTCACACTCAGTCAATCCACTCCGAGACTGAGAACAGGTATCTCCAATTAATAAACCACTTTAAAAGCTTAGTGCATGATGGAAGACATTGTATGTAGAGAAGGGAAGTGTAAAAATGAAACAATTACTGCTGCAATAAATGGTATTAGCAGCAGGACACTGCAGTAGTTGCTATTTCTATGCTGGTGTGCAACAAAAGGCTTTGTGTGGCTCAGAAACTTGCAGTCTCTCTCTGATGGAAGGTCTAGCAGCACAGGAAGGGAATTCCAGGTTTACCCCCAGTTTTTGCTCCTGTTCAAGAGGTGGGGTGTGCTGTCAGCTGCCTGCTCTGGCCTAGGTGGGAATGGACAAATCAGCTGTCTTCTTTTTCCTGCCTCTCCCTCAATACCCTTGAAGACCCCTGGCAAAGCTTTCCATGCTCCCAGGCCAAGGGCATCAGATATTCAGAGGTGTAAGGAGTGGATGCTGTACCATTAGAGCGAATTTAGATCAGCTGGATACACACAGTTAACGACAACTTTCCCTCACTCCTTGAAAATCCAATGACAAAACAACTCAAGGACTGATGCTTCATGCAGCAGCATCTATTTGAGCAATTCAAGATTCAAAGCAGTGAAAAGACTTCTTTAAATCCCTAGTTTCAGCTTAAATAAAATAGCCAGAATTGTAGTGCACCCTAAATTATATCTCCATGCCTATTCCTATTTATTATGGATTTTTTTTTAAACCCCCACAAGCTAGCACTGCACCCAGAGCACATTTATATTCCTGAGTGGGGAATTAGTGATACAGAACTGCCACACGTAATTCATGGAGTGTCTGGGAACTTCACAGTCTCTAAGCAACAACTCCTGAATACAAGATGTTTTTCATGCTGTGAAAATTATGGTCAAAATCCCCTCAGAAGAGCCCACTTTGGGTGCCAAAAAAGGGCTGGTGGCTTAACCCCAGCTGGCAGCTCAGCCCCGTACCCATTCTCACCCAGAGGGTAAAAGTGGGAAAACTGTGGGTTGAGATAAACAGAATTCAAGAGCTAAAGCCAAAGCTGTGAGTGGAAACACAGGAAACCAACACCCCAGCAGCTCCAGGGGGGGGAATTAACTGTGCTCCAGCCCAAACCATCACATTTCCCTAATTGTGAGGGGTTTGGGGTACAAAGATTGTGAATTTTTCTGTACATAAATGCACAGAGAACCATGGAATCATTTGGGTTGAAAAAGCCCTCTCAGATAATCTCCATTATCATTAATCCAAGGCCACCTCCAAACCATGTCCCCAAGTACCACATGCACACAGCTTTTAAATCCCCCCAGGGAGGGTTTACATATGTGTATTAAATATATGTGTTTCTACAAATGCAGAGATATAAAAATAACAATCAGGCTAAGTCGGTTACCTGTTCCACCTTTATGTCATACTCTCCATGGACCTTTTTTCCACGAAAAGCCTTGGCCCTGCAAGAAAAAAAAAGGAGAGAAAAATCAAGGATGTATTTATCTGTAATCAGTGTCTGTAGAAGACTTCCTGTGTTGCCTACAATGTCTTGAAAACACACAAACATACTGATGAAATCTATCTGCTGCGCATGCACAATTGCCCTTCTTTGCCACCCTTGTATTCTTCACCCCACCCCACAATATTTTGTAATAAAAAGAATAATGTGGTTTCCAGCACTGAAGTGAAGACGCACTGAAATGATGAAACATCAGAAGTACACGTTTCACAGCTGTTAAACAGTATAAAAGGAGTCCTGTTAAACAGGTACAATCTTGCTCTCAAAGTCAACAATGGCAGTGGAAATTCATTTCCCTGTGAACAACTTCCTAACAACCACTCACATTCATCTTTATCTGTCTAAATTGAATTAATTTAGAAAAACTGGTTTATTGGGAGTCCTGTGCTTAGAAACCTTACATTATTTTTAAAGTGTCAGAGAACTGGAGACTGCTGTTGTCAGATATTTGAGTGCTTGGTTTCCTAATCAGTTTTCTTTCCTCTAGACTGAGTTGATATGAAATTATTAATGTGAAGGAGAGTTTATGAGCAGTTATTATGCACCAGGATTTCTGGGACAGAACAGAGCTGAATTCACTGATCCAAGCCTTACAAACAGACATTCCTCCAGGAATCCATCCCTTGTATCCCTCAGGCTGAATGTACCTGCTTTGGACTAAAGGAGGATTTCACAAAAAAAGATAAATCTGTTGATAAAAAGGAATTAGTCTGACATTCTGATGTTGTTGAAGGAATAGAGGATCAGCCTCTCTGCATTTTCTTTGTTCAAGCCAAAGCTTAGGGCACCTTCCCTGCTTTTTTCTTGCACAAGGAAAAAATTCGTTGCACAATTCAAAACCTCAACACCACAGAACATCACCTCAAGTGTTAAAGAAGAGCAGCTTTGTGCATTTCCAGCATCTAACAAAATGCTATTTTATTACATGAAATCTACCTCACCAATGAAAGCCATAGCAATACGTATATTAATAATATATTTCTGCTGTGATCCAGAAGAATTTCACCACTGCTTTCAATAGTGGATAAACAAAATTTCTTAATAATCAAATGTAAACACTGCCTTGGGCAGCATTTCATAAGGAATAAGGGTATTTCTTAAGGATATGGATAATGGATGGTAGAAGTGCTTATACTGAAATCCCACACTAAAATATTGCCCAACCATTAATTCTGTATAAACATGCCATTGGGAAGAAGAAAGCATTTGTATTATTATGTTTTTTAACTGCATTCTTGCAATAAATACACATGAAAGATGAAGTTTAAAATCCATTGTTCTGTTCTAGGAGGTGCACACTCAGTGTTAGCAAATATTTTTGGCAATACTAAAAGTAGATGTTAAATATAAACCTAATTTACAGAAATATCATTAATCACTTATTTATCTTCCAAATTTGTTTTGGAATCCCTTAAGAGGAATGTGAGCATCACCTCTTGGAATCACTGGGGACTCTGGATGTGTTTTATGGGAAAAGCCGGGAGATTTGTGCCAGAGCTGGAGGAAGGTCCCACAATCAGGGACCTGCCTTGGGAGGAAAGCACCCAGCTCACATCAACAGACAGCTTTAATGCCTCTCTGAAAAACTAAAGATTCACCACTGCAAAAAATACTTCAAACTCCAGTTCTGGCCCCCATGGATTTAACAGCATTATCCTGGTTAAATTCTGGTGGGAACAGGATGAGCTCCTGGGTTTTATCTCTGATGCAGCAAGAGGTGAGCTAAATGCATTACTGGACATCACACGAGACATTTAATTTAAATACAATTATCTTGGCTACATTATATGACACATTTAATTTAAATATAATTGTCTTGACTACATTATAGTGAAGCTGCCTCTTGGCCACTGGAAAACCAGTTTAAATACTCAGTTTCTATCACAGAAAAAGGCAATCCCCCTGGCGGGGAGTAATGTGCTCTGACTCCGTGATTCAGAAGGCTCAACAATTGCTTTATTAAACTATACTATATTACACTAATGCTATATTATAAATATGCTAAAAAGATACTATACTGTACTAAAGAAAACTCGTGACTCTCCAGACAGTCATGGCACAGCTTTAAGTCATTGGCTAATCACTCAAAACAACTTTCACTTGTGTCCAATACCCAAATCACTTTGGGTAAACAATCTCCATAACACATTCCACATGTGCAAAAACAGGAGCCGTGATAGAGATAAGGATTGTTTGCTCTTCTTCTCTCTGTGCTTCTCACTGCCTTCCCAGGAAAAATCCTTGGGAAGTTGTGCCTGCTGCTCTCTGTGAAGAGAGCTGTGGCCACAAGTTTCTTCCAGTTTGAATGGTAACTTGGCCATCCAGAGACTAAACCTGCCCCAGAAGCTGCCCTAACAAATATCAGCAACTGGCAGCTCTTTGAGAGAAGGAATGGAACTGGGAAAGCAGGGAGAGCCCAGGACAGACCCTTCTACTCTTTACTCCAAGTCCACTGCATGCATGTGTTAGTGAGATAACCAAAATACTCGTTAGCTGTTAATTAGTGAGATGTTATTACTCTAAATTCAGTCTTTCTACTTAAACATGAGGCAATCTCCAAAGAGCTAAACTCTGGCACGATTCACGTTTCAACAAATGACTTCAGCTTTGGAAACAAACAGGAGTAGTGAGGACTGAAGTTAAGCAATCTGAGGCTTGAAAACAAGCCTGACATTCAATCATTTAAAGAGAATCGGTTTCATAGCAGCTTTTGCCAACAACTTTTATAAAAATGTATAATATTCCACAATATTCTTCAAATGTTGAGCCCCAGACTGCAAGAATTTATCTGGGTATCTGTTGGAACCCTGGCTGCTGAGAATTTCAGACTTTCTGTGCTGCCAGGCACTGACCCCCAGGAGAACACTGCATTTCACCTGAGGCCATGGAGAAAGCTTCATAATTTAATGACAGAACTGGGATTGAGGGTGTTGAGTTTAAATAGAAGTGTGTAATATCACATAGTAGAAAACTTAAAGTTCTAAAATATAATAATATATATAAAACCAGATAAAAAGTTTTAAAACATAAATTAATCCTTCTTCTTCACCTTCTTCTTCATAAGTTTAAGTAGCATTGTGTAATTAGATTAAAAAATCCACATTGCAAACCACAAGGAACTAGTTATTAGGTTAAAAATAAAAATAAATTGTGTCATTTCTTAATTAAACAGTTTATCCTATAACTGAAAGTTTCATGACTTGAGCATTTCAGAACAAAGTCTCAGAATTAGTTAGCATGTGTCTGTTGTGACACAGAACCCAGTTTTAATTTTATTTACTCTACCTTGGAAATTCAGCCATGCCCTGCTTGAATTATTCCCCATGTGCAATAAAACAATAAAAGAAAGAGGCAGTCCTATCATAATGACATTCATTACATACTTACGGTAATTTATTTTATTTTTTATGGAGGGGAGCTGAGGAATGCAATTGTTTGGTGTTATTTATTTACAGAATTCCACTCACTTGCAGGCTCAAATTCCTGTTAAGCTTTGTTCCTCTTGGCACAGAGCGTGGAATGAATGTGGACAGGGCTCTGAGGAGGGTGAGGTGAGCTGCCAGCAGGAGTGAAAGTGAAAACCAAACACACCCCAGATCAGGGGCACTTACAGTAGCATTGTTCTGCTGTTGTGGATGATTTTGCATTGTAGGTAAAGAAGAAAAGGAAATGAAATCATCCCTCTGACACTCCACCAGTGCTTTCCAAAGGCCACAGAGAGCTGGGAAGGGATGCTGCCCACTGAAGGCACTGCCACGCCTCTTCCAGCCAGAGGCTGTTCAAAACACCTGAAATATTGATGCATTTCTTGCTGCACAATTCATATTTAAAATTAAACCACCAGAGAATATGCAGCTGCCACAGAGGCAGCCTGACACGAACTCACTCCATCACTGACCTTTGCCAAGGACAAGCAGAGAAGCAGAGTCGTTAAAGGGGTTTCAAATATATAAATTATCAATATGATTTATTTCCCTACTCAGCTACACAGCATCTACCTGCAGGTCCACAGTATCTTACTATGCCATGAGACCAGCCTGGTCTAAGATGTGTATCTCTCTCTCTCTCTCTCTATATATATATATACACATATCTATATGTGTGTGTGCATATATACAGAATATTCCCAAATATTCTGTATGTATATATCATATATATATGTGTGTGTGTGTGTGTCTATATATGTATATATACAGAATATTCCCAAATAACTGATTTACAGGAATTATCAATGAACTGCATGTAAGGATACTGACAAACAAATGACACAGACCCAGCCAGAATTCCATGGGCTTTAAAAGTGTCTCAGTGACAGGCTAGAAAAAGCTGAAGAGAAACAAAATCTTGTCTTCAAGCTAAGATTTCAAGCTGAGCCCAGTCTTCAAGTTCAAATGGGATTAGAAATAATTTGTTCTTTAGTTCAATTAAAAAAGACTTTTGTAAATACAGGAAGACCACAAGATGCTGTTAACAAAACCAGTGTATGATAAGATCTGCACAGCATTTCCATTTTATGGGAATTAAACCACATCCCACTGAAACCAGGGGGGATTTCTGTGCCAGCATCCATGTGCTCTCCAACTGACAGTACCACCTTTGCTGTGCTGCCTTCGCCATCAGCCAAGCTTTGGGTAACACCTCTGATGAGTTATCGTGCTTAAATAGAAACTAACCCCAGTGATTTAAGGCTTTCTTTTATTTACTTGTTCCACATCTTTACAGAAAAATAACCTGCTTAAAACCTGACTCTGCAAGGCCTTGATATTCCCAAATGTTACTGAGACTCTGCAAAGAGCTGTCTGGATTTAAAGCACGTCCTTTTTGTGTCTGCACAAAAAGGTGGAGTTCCAGCCTTGGCAGCTGCCCCAGCCACTCTTTCACTCTCACATAAAACAGTGACGTTTTCTCAAGGTCTTACCTCATACAGAGATTGCCTCAGAA